CAGATTGGGAACATCTAAAAACGTGTTTTATTGGACCAGATTGGGAAACATTATTAAACATCTAAAACTTGTTTTATTGTGTCAGATTGGGAACATCTAAAAACGTGTTTTATTGGACCAGATTGGGAAACATTATTAAACATCTAAAAACTTGTTTTATTGTACCAGATTGGGAAACATTATTAAACATCTAAAAACTTTGTTTTATTGTACCCCCCAATCTGACACAATAAAACAAGTTTTTAGATGTTTAATAATGTTTCCCAATCTGGTACAATAAAACAAAGTTTTTAGATGTTTAATAATGTTTCCCAATCTGGTACAGTAAAACACGTTTTTAGATGTTTAATAATGTTTCCCAATCTGGTACAATAAAACAAAGTTTTTAGATGTTTAATAATGTTTACCAATCTAAACATCTAAAAACTTGTTTTATTGTGTCAGATTGGGAAACATTATTAAACATCTAATTTCTTTTTATAAGTCCTTAAGGACCACGAGTACCTGATACAAGTGACATTAAAGAACTGTTTTCTAGCCTGTTTTTTGGATGATTTCCACCCGTAACAGGTCCAGGGTCACTTTCTAAGCTCGGATCTAGAGAGATACAAATACAGGCTATTACTATTACTACCATTAGCTGGAGTATTCTGCAAAAAACAAAACAAAATTTTTAAATCATGGTCTTTCTTTCGATAAACATTCCATAGTGAGAAAGACCCCACTGATGTAGAATGCTGAACCCCACACACACTCACAATAGACAGAAGGCACATTTACAAGGTAAAAAATAACTCTAAACAAGTAAACATTTACATGGTAAAAAAACAAGTCTAAACAATAATACATTTACAAGGTAAAAAACAAGTGTACATTTACAAGGTAAGAAACAAGTAAACATTTACATGGTAAGAAACAAGTCTAAACAAGTAAACATTTACATGGTAAAAAACAAGTCTAAACAAGTGTACATTTACATGGTAAAAAAACAAGTCTAGAAAAAAATACTACACTTCCTCTGACAAACCAGTCTGGTTGTTAGCATGTCAGACTGTGGATCTTAGGTTCCGTGGTCTGCAGCCTGGTTGTTAGCATGTCAGACTGTGGATCTTAGGTTCCTTGGTCTGCAGCCTGGTTGTTAGCATACCAGACTGTGGATCTTAGGTTCCGTGGTCTGTAGTCTGGTTGTTAGCATGTCATACTGTTGATCTTAGGTTCCGTGGTCTGCAGCCTGGTTGTTAGCATGCCAGACTGTAGATCTTAGGTTCCGTGGTCTGCTAGCCTGGTTGTTAGCATGTCAGACTGTAGATCTTAGGTT